GAGATGTACACACCTGTGTGTGTTTGTATGTGTTTATGCATGTGTACATAATACAAAATAAGGGACAAGGTTCATTTTTTCCCTGACATATACCCATTTATTCCAGCACTATTTGTGGAAAAGACTATTTTTTGTCCATTAAATTTTATCATTGTCAAAATCAAATGTTCTTATATATGTGGAGGGGCTTTTGGTACTCTATTGTGTTTACTGATGCATGTGTCACTCTATCCTGGTTATCATTCCTTTATTATAAATTAAAAAGTCCTTATGTATGTGTAGAATCCCTCCAATTTTTTCTTTTCCTTAATTGTTTTGGTTCTTTAAGGTTGTTTTCATTTCCAAGAACCTGCTAAGATCTTGTTTGGTGTGACACTGGTTCTCTGGATCAATTTGGTGCAAATGGACATCTTGACAATCCATTTATTTAGGTCTTTAATCTCTCTTAGCAATTTTTTTTTAGTTTTCAGTGTCTTGTCTTATTCATATTTATTAAATGTCTCTTATATATTTAATGTTTTTAATGTAATTTTATTGCTAAGATATAGAAATATATAACAAATTTTAAAATATTGATCATATATCATGTATTTGTGCTAAATTTACTTATTTATAATAATTTTTAAATTGATTCCCTAGGATTTTTCTCCACATCTAATTATGTTATCTGAAAATAGCAAAAACTTTGCTTCTTTCTTTCAGATCCATATTCCCTTTACTTGTCTTTCTTGTCAGAATCGCTAGAAACTTCAGGAGAATGTGAGGGATGTGTTGAGAGGAGATATGCTTGCCTCCTCCTGATCTTAGGAGGACATTCAGCCTTCATTAAGTCTGATGTGAGCTGTAGAGTTTTCATAGATGCCATTTTTGAATTGAAGAAGTTCTCTTCTGTTTCTAGTTTTCTGAGTTTTTAAAAAAATCCCAAATGGGATTAGATTTTTGTCAAATGCTTTTTCTGCTCTTATTGTGATGATTATATGTTTTTATTTCTTTTTAGTTTTCTGTAAATACGATGAATTAAGTTTATGGACTTTGTAGATGATTTCTTGGAATTTAAGATTCTGAGGAAAATAGCTTGACTACTGTGGGTGCTAAATAAAAAAAAAAAAGATTTCTCCAACTTGAGCTAATTTTTTGTATTATGTTATGTCATTTTAGTGTATTAGTTGGGTGGGGTTGCATCCCAGCTCTACCAAATATTAGCTATATGACCATGGACAAGTTATTTAACCATTCTGAGCCTCCATTACATAGCTACCTCATATGACTTTTATGAGAATTAAGTGGGACAGTGCTTGCAGCATGTTCACATTTACTGAGTGCTGACATGTTCCAGACACTGTTTTAAGCATATATTGTGTATTATTATGTCTATTCCTACTGACTTATACCAGAACAAATGCTATTGTTTGCATTTCCACAGATGAGAAACCCTTGCACAGAGACATATGTAACTTGCCCAAGGTTCAGAGCTGGAAAAGGCAGATGAGCGAATGTCCCCCACAAACTGGCTCCAAAGCCCTTGTGCACAGCCCCAAATTACAGTCTTTCTGTGACATACTACATGCCATATAGTGCATTATCTGCCAAGTGTAGGTAACATCAACAATTGCTGGTGCTTTGTTATCATTCACAAAAGTAAATATTTTGATAGTCCAGGGGGTCATATTCAACAACATCAGAGTAAAATCCAATGATCCCCACTAATAGAGGACCCAAAGCAACTATATAACAGCTGGCATGATGACATTGGGGTTGAAACCTCACTGGCAGTAAGTTGGAGGGGAGATCCCTCCCATGAATGGGACATCAACAATAGAGTCCCAGTTACTACCAGGAGAATGCAAATAATGCATACAAGGGGCAATCCTAGCGTATTCAGCTCAGGTGAACAAAGAGACTGCAGCACTGGACCCCACAAGACACTTTCTACATAAAACCATTCCACAAAGGTGGGGAGGCATAACAGTGCTATCTAATAATCAAAAGAAAATACAAAGATACAGCTAAAATGGTGAGACAAAGAAACAACCCCCAAATGAGAGAAAATAATGAATCTCCAGAAAAAGAACTAAATGAGATGGAGGCAAGCAACCATTCAGACATAGAGTTCAAAGCAATGTTTATAAAGATGCTTAAGGAGCTTAGTGAAAACTATAACAGCATGAAAAGGGAAACAGAGATCATGAACAAGAACCAGACAGAAATGAAGAATGATATATCTGACATGAAGAACACACTGGAAGAGATTAAATGTAGATTGCATGAAGCAGAGTATTGAATCAGCAATTTGGAAGACAAGGTAGACATAAATACCCAATTAGAGCAGCAAATAGAAAAAATAATTAAAAAGCAGGAAGATACTTAAGGCAGCTCTGAGGCAATATGAAATGTAAAAACATCTGCATTACAGGAACACCAGAAGTGGAAGAGGATGAGCAAAGAACAGAGAACCTATTTAAAGAAATAATGACAGAAAACTTTCCCAACCTGGTAGAGGAAAATGTCACACAAGCTCAGGAGGCACAAGGAGTCCCAATCAAGATGAACCCAAAGAGACTCACACTGAGACACATCATAATTAAATTAGCAAAGGTTAAAGAGAAAGGAAGAATATTAAAGGCAGCAACTGGGAAATAACCTACAAAAAATTTCAATTAGACTGTCAGCTGACTTCTAAATAGAAGCACTTCAAGAAGGGAGTCGCATGAAATACTTAAAGTAATGAAAAGACTACAACTTGTATCCAGCAAGACCATCCTTTAAAATTGAAGGTGAAATAAAAACATTTCCTGAGCACCCCCCCAAAAAAAGAATGGTTAAAGGCATACATTACCACCAAATCAGCAATGCAAAAAATTTTAAAGAGACTGTGTTAAGAAAAAGAAAAGGAAAGAGATAGGATCATAGGCATAAAGAAAATAACAATGGCAATAAATAAATAAATGGCTATTGCAATAACCTTAAATGTAAATGGATTAAATGCCCCAGTCAAAAAACATAGGGTGACTGAATAGATAAGAAGACATGACCCATATATATGCTGTCTACAGGAGCCCAACCTCAGAACAAAAGATAACACATAGATTGAGAATGAAAGGATGGAAAAATATATTCCATGCAAATGGAGAGAAAAGAAAAAACTGGGTTATCAGTACTCACATCAGACACAAGAGACTTCAAACAAAATCCATAACAAGAGACAAAAAAGGCCACTTCATGATAATAAAAGGAATGATTCAACATGAAAATATAACCCTTAAAAACATATATGCACCCAATATAGGAACATAAAAAAGAAACACAAAACAAACAAACAAATAAACAAAAAACCCTTGATGGACTTTAAGGTATAGATCCGTGATGGCAAACCTATGACACGTGTGTCAGAGGTGACACACGAACTCATTTTTTTGGTTGATTTTTCTTTGTTAAGTGGCATTTAAATATATAAAGTAAATATCAAAAATATAAATCTTTGTTTTACTATGGTTGCAAATATCAAAAAATTTCTATATGTGACACGGCACCAGTTAAGTTAGGGTTTTTCAAAATGCTGACACACGGAGCTCAAAAGGTTTGCCATCACTGTATAGATTAACACCAATACAGTTATAGTAGGAGACTCTAACACTGCACTGGCATCATTGGATAGATCTTCCAGACAAAAAATTAACAAGAAAACAGAGGCCTTAAATGACACTCTAGATCAGATGGATCTAACCAGTATTTATAGAACATTTCACCCCAAAGCAACAAAATGTACATTCTTCTCAAGTGCCCATAGAACATTTTCAAAGATAGACCACATGTTAGGTCACAAAACAAGTCTATACAAATGTAAGAAGACTGATATAATACCAAGCATCTTCTTGGATCATAATGGCATAAAATTAGAAATCAATGACAATAAAAACACTAAAAAACACTTAAATAAATGGAGGCTAAATAGTATGCTATTAAACAATGAGTGGGTTACAATGATATCGAGCAAGAAATTTAAAAAAAATCCTAGAAATAAATGAAAATTAGCACACAACCCCCTAAAACTTCTGGGATACGGTGAAAGCAGTCCTGAGAGGGAAGTTCATAGCCCAATAGGCCTACCTCAAAAACTAAGAAAAAGGACTAATAAACAATCTAACCGTCAACTAAAGGAGTTTGAAAGAGAACAGCAAGAAAAGCCCAGAGGAAGCAGATGTGACATAGAGACTATAAAAAACAGTACAATATATCAATAAATCCAAAAGCTGGTTCTTTGAAAAGATAAACAGGATTGATGAACTAACCACACTCATTAAGAACCAGAGAAAGGGTCCAAATAAATAGGCAACATAACAAAGGCTACCACAGAAATATAAAGGATTGTAAGCCAAATGCTAACACACTAGACCTCCTGGGCAAAATAGACAAATTCCTAGAAACATAAAATCTTCCAATACTGAATCAGGAAGAATCAGAAAGCCTGAGTAGTCCAACAACAACAGATGAAATTGAAGCAGTCATTTAAAACTTCCAGCAGGGGAGAAACCAAGATGGCAGCATAGGTAAACACCAGAAATTGCTGCCTCCCACAACAACTTCAAAAATACAACAAAAAGACAACATGAACATCATCCAGAATACAGGAAGGCTGGCTGAGTGGAAATTCTACAACTAGAAAGAAAGAGAAAAGAACACTGAGACTCATAGGAGCTGTGGAAGTAAAGTGCAGAGGTATGGAGGCTCGAGCATGCATGGAAAGGGGCTGGCACCTGAGGACACAGTTGTCTTTTTGAATCGGGAGGGAGTCACAAGCTCCCAACTACTCTGAACTCCAGTTCTTGGAAGTCTCTGGAGACCTAGGACTCATATGGGGAGAAACTGGGCTGTCTGGCAGCAGGCAGAACTAAGAACTTGAGGGCGGCTTTCCCTCAGAGGTGCTTGCAGCAATTACCAGGACACTGCGATGCAGGGCCCCATAGGGCAGGGCTGAGGATCAGCCATAGCTGCTTGCTCCACCCTGTTGATTCCCTGAGACCCCGCCTCACGCAGGCTGCAGCAGAGGCTTTTGCATATGAATGCCCTGGCCCTTTGCAATCTGAAAATTACCTAACAAATTGCAGCTGGGTCAAACAGACCCAGAACTTCCAAGAGAAGGCCTAAGCCCCCACAGCAGCTTGCATTACTTCACAGCTGGGCCTCATCTGGGCACCTCCAAACCCCCCAAAAAGGAAGGGGAATTTGCAGATCTCTTCGCAGCTTCTGCTGGGAGCTATGAGGCTAAATCAGCACCTCCTTAGATCCAAGATCCAGTGTACCCAGTGGTCAGAGTGGAACCATCCAGATTACAACTCCTCAGATCCATAAGGGACACACTTAGGGGGTAAACTC